ATATATATATATATATATATATATATATATATTATATATATATGATATATATATATTATATATATATATATATATATATATATATATATATATATATATATATAATATATATATATATATATATGTAATATATATATATATATATATATATATATATATATATATATATATATATAATATATATATATATATATATATATATATATATATATATATATATATATATATAAAATATATATGAGGGACTACACTCATCATCAGCAATGAAACTTGCCAAGGGTTCCCTTGAGTGCTGCAAGAAGGAGCGGAAGCACTGCAGCAGACCAAGTTTCTTGAAGACTGTCCACTTCCTTCCAAGGAAACAGTCAAACCCAACATTTCGTTGTTTTCCGAAGACATAAGAATAATAAGAATAACAGAAGAGGTCAGAGGCTGGCTATAAGAAGACAATGGACAGTCTGCCAGAACGGTCAAATACTTGGCTACCAAAGCTCAACCCAAGTAAGCGTTGGGTCACCTCATATCTCGATTTTCTCCAAGACCTTGCTTCTTCCAGCATCACTCACATGCCTCTTGGGTGCCATGATTACTATACAGATACAAGATATGGTAATGAAAAATTTAAAAAAAAAAAAAAAGATTCACAACCATAGATCTGAGAATCGTACAGAACCCATGAACTGACCACTGAGAAGTGGGATGGGGGAGGCTGGGGTGGAAACTTCAGCAGTCCAGCCTTGCAACGCTCCAAATTTTTCCCTTGAAGTTGCACCATAATAGACGAATTTCAGAGCAATCGAAAATATGCGGCAGTTTTTTAAGTCTTACATCAAAAAGTCATAGAAAATCACGTCTTAATCAACGGTCTACTGTATGTATGTATGTATGTATGTATGTATGTATGTATGTATGTATATGTATGTATATGTATGTATGTATGTATGTATGTATGTATGTATGTATGTATGTATGTATGTATGTATGTATGTTGTTAATGCACCGCGCAGAAACAGGACGGTATATACAAAGAAAGATCGCAGTCAGCAGGGCTCGACCCCACTACAGGGAAACTGGCAAGGTTCCCAGGTGACGCTCTCTAGCACTCGGCCACACATGTCCATAAGCTGGGCAGCCTGGTTTACAAGTCATGGCTCTTCCCAGCCCGGGTACATCAGTGAACCTCAAGCATGGTTTCAGGCTATTTCAGTCTCCTCACGTATGTTCTCACTCAAAAACGATTTTTTTTGGTGTGGTACATTGATATGAAAATTGCTTCTGAAGTCAGAACATAGAGGAAGAGATTGAAATAGCTTGAGCTAGACATTTAATTTAAATTAGTCTAGCTCATTTCATTAGCTTTACTGTTGAGTTTGAACAAAATAACCCATTGCCTTTTCTAAAATACCCAAAACACTTTATTGATAAATCTTTTAAAATTGTTAGAAATACATGTTACAATTCTAAACAGGACAAACACTCTCACTCAATTAAGAATATGTTGGTTTTCCGTTACCTTTAAAACTTTCTTGATATGCCTTCAAGAATTTTAAAATCAAAGTTGTATTTAAAAATCTTAATACAGAAAAAAAAACTTTTGATGAAAAATTCCCTCAAGGATCATTGTGGACGGTTGTCCACAATGATCCTTGTATAGAATGTGATAAAATTTGTTACGATCAAACTGGGAAAATCCATGAACTAAAATTGCAACAATATAAATAAAGTATTAGAATTGGAGAAGAGTCTAATACTCTGTTTATTCATGTGAGAGATCTTAACCATCCAACTGATTTTCAAACAGCCGAGAAAGTTGAATCAAGCAAGTTCACGGTTGAGATCAAGCTTAATAAAATATATTATATACATACATACATACATACATACATACATACATACATACATACATACATACATACATTGATAAATAGACACATGTGCAACTCTTGGGTATCTTTATTAAGGGAACATTTCGCCACACAGTGGCTTCATCAGTCCATACATAGGAGAAGCTTGAAGAACAGGAGGAGAATGAGGTAATCAGTCCTTCATCCTTAAGTCGATGTGGTCAGTCCATCAATCTTGAGTAGAATACGGCATATGAGTGGAGAAGGAGCTTATAAACCGTGGGAAGGAGAGGTGCAGCAGTCGTAGGTGGTGTCACGTTTGCCCAATGTGGAAGTAGGTCGTGCCCAAGGGTTAGGTAAGCGAAGAATTCCCAAGTATTAAGATCCCAAGAAGTTGCAGTGTCTGACAGGATTGTAGATGAATGGTTCACAGAACCGACACGTTGATAAATAGACACATGTGCAACTCTTGGGTATCTTATTAAGGGAACGTTTCGCCACACAGTGGCTTCATCAGTCCATACATAGGAGAAGCTTGAAGAACAGGAGGAGAATGAGGTAATCAGTCCTTCAACCTTGAGTCGATGTGGTCAGTCCATCAATCTTGAGTAGAATACGGCACGTGTGTCTATTTATTTAGAATATGGCACATGTATCTATTTATCAACGTGTCGGTTCTGTGAACCATTCATCTACAATCCTGTCAGACACTGCAACTTCTTGGGATCTTAATACTTGGGAATTCTTCGCTTGCCTAACCCTTGGGCACGACCTACTTCCACATTGGGCAAATGTGACACCACCTACGACTGCTGCACCTCTCCTTCCCACGGTTTATAAGCTCCTTCTCCGCTCATATGCCGTATTCTACTCAAGATTGATGGACTGACCACATCGACTTAAGGTTGAGGGACTGATCATCTTATTCTCCTCCTGTTCTTCAAGCTTCTCCTGTGTATGGACTGATGAAGCCACTGTGTGGCGAAACGTTCCCTTAATAAAGATACCCAAGAGTTGCACATGTGTCTCTTTATCAACGTGTCGGTTCTGTGAACCATTCATCTACACATACATACACACACACACACACACACACACACACACACACACACACACACACACACACACACACACACACACACACACACACACACACAATATATATATATATATATATTATATATATTATATATATATATATATTTATATATATATATATATATATATATATATATATATATTATATATATTATATATATATATATATATATATATATATATATATATATATATATATATATATATATATATATATATATATATATATATATATATATATATACAGTCCTTTTCCTTTCATTTCAGCCGGTTACAGCAAACCCTCAATTCTTCTGTTTGGAGAACATGAAATTCTCTCATCAGAGGGTGTTCAGCAGGGTGACCCACTCGCTCCACTTTTTTTCTGCTTGGCAGCAAGAGAACTAACTTCCAGCCTATGCAGCGAGTTCAACATCTGGTACCTGGATGATGGCACTCTGGCAGGTACTGAAGAGTCCCTGTTAGAGGACCTACAGCTGATGAAAACGCTGGGAGAAGACTTGAGATTCATCCTCAATCTCTCCATGTGTGAAATCATCACAGCAAACCAGGAAATAATCAATGCCGTGTGAGGAATCCTCTCTAATACCACTTCGTCCAACAGTACCCTCTTGGGAGCACCGCTGGGTCAGCAAGCCATCGACACTCTCCTTAAGGAAAAATTGAATGATCTGCTGAGAATGGAGGAGAGAATAAGCGATCTTGATGCCCATTATGCTCTGTATCTCCTCACAAGGTGTCTTACTATGCCAAGACTCGCTTCCTGAGGTGTACACCCTCTTTTGACAACCCAACACTCGACGAATATGACGCACACCTGAGATCAACCTTTAAGAAGGCCCTGAACTTGTCACTAGAGGATCAACAATGGGATCATGCAACCCTCCCAGTGCGACTGGGAGGTATAGGGGTGCGCAAAGCAACGCATGTAGCTTTACCTGCTTTTCTGTGTTCGTGTTTGGCTTCCAGTGCATTAGTCAAGAAGATTGTTCCCGAACGCTTGAGAGACGTGGTAGGAGCTCAAGACCCAGGTTCACTGAAGCAGCGATGCGGTGGGACACCCTTGCAAACTTCTCTAGTAGACCAGCTCCTCCCAAAGAGCACAAACAGCCCCACTGGGACAAACCGAGCATGGAAAAAATCGCCAACACAATGCTCACCAACGCCTCAGGAAAGGACAAAGCTCGTCTCCTGGCGGTGAAGGCACCAGGAGATCTCCTTCCAGCTGTTCCCAATTCCTCCGTGGGTACTCGACTCGACCCATAGGCCATTCGGATTGGTGTTGCTCTTCGTCTAGCCGCCCCCATCCTCTCCGAACATAAGTGTATTTGCGGCAGGACGACTGCTGATCATTTCGAACTTCATGGGCTCGTGTGTCACACATCAAAAGCGAAGTATGCCAGACATGAGGGGGTCAATGACATCATAAGGAGAAGCCTCGCCACAGCCCGTTGCCCAGCTCAACGGGAAGTCAAAAGCCTCCTGATGGAGCCACTATGCTACCCTGGAACGATGGAAAGCAGATTGCCTGGGACTACACCTGTGCCGCCACATTTGCAGACACCTACTTGCCATACTCCATAGCTGAAGTTGTTGGAGCTGCCAACCCCTGGGTGAAAAGCTCATCATAGAAACCAAGGACGACAGGGAGACCAGCTTCCTCTTTCTGAGACTCAGTGTCGCGATCCAGAGAGGAAATGCCTGCAGCATTCTTGGCACGCGGCCCACTGCCTGGGAGCTTGATGAAGTATTCGAGATGTAGCTCTGAGTTGTTATCTATGTTGTTTTACTTTCTATTGTATTCTTGTGAATGTTTTGTCAATGTATTTTGTCCTTTATATGTATATATATATATATATATATATATATATATATATATATATATATTATATATATATATATATATATATATATATATATATATATATATATATATATATATATATATATATATATATATATATATATATATATGAGTACAAATTTTAAAAATGCATAGATAATAATAAAGATTATATCATATGCTTTTGGAAATGAATGCAGTTATGGCTAACTTACCCAGGAACTTGGTGAGTAACGCTTGTGTGGCGCTGGTGAGTTTAGCGAACCTGGGAATGTTGGCGAAGGCATCTTCCCAGGTCACGGCTGCTTGTGAGTTGACCCCGGAGGAGATTGTGCTGAGGATGGAGGTTAGAAGTCAATAGGTGCGGGAGTTAGTGTCTTTGTGTGTCTCAGGAACATATGAATGGACAAACACAAGGCAGGTACTTATCAACACCACCGATGTATTTATCCAACCTTTTTCCAGAGCTACCCAAGAATTTGCCTCAGTACGTCAGGTACTAATCAAACACAGCCCTTTTTACTCATATATTTAAATTTGAACACTGCAGTATGTGGTACAATATTCTGTGTGCATTATGTTGTGGGAACAAAAGCCAACTATGGTTCCTATGACCTATTCCATCATTAAACAAATGACCAACAATTCCGAAACTGAAACCTTTGACGACATTCGGACCCTTCTAGCTCCTCTCCGTATCTTGTTAATGGTCCGAGTCAGACTGAAAAGTGGTCATAGGTTTTAGTCTTTTAACTGGAGATTCATATATTGTTCCAGCCACAGTATAAACTTTAGTAAGGCATTCCGACATTCGCTTTAAGAAAAAAAAAAATGAACAAACACTAGTACATATTTATTAGAAAACGTTTCGATCCTGGAACTCTGATCAAGGTGCCAGGTCGAAACGTTTTCCAACAAATCTGTCCTAGTATTTGCTTACGTGTCCTTTAAACTGACCCTTAGATGTCAAGACTTGCTGACAAATTATAATGCAAAATACACTATGTAAAAAAATCTTTTTATTTACAAACTACGTTTCACCCCATTTAGAGTGTAAGAAAAGTGAAGCAAATAAAAGTTTTCTCTGCACATTGTGTCTTTTTGCTACATGTGTCTTTACGTGGAAGGAAATAAGTCCAAAGACAGTGTCGCTACAGAAATGTTGCCACGTGTCACGTGGCCTGGTGGTTAACGCTCTCGCTTCACACGGTGAGGGCCTGGGTTCGATTCCCAGCCAGAGTAGAAACATTGGACGTGTTTCTTTCCACCTGTTGTCTATGTTCCCCATCAGTAAAATGGGTACCTGGGTGTTAGTCGACTGGTGTGGGTCGCATCCTGGGACACTGACCTAAGGAGGCCTGGTCACAGACCGGGCCGCGGGGGCGTTGACCCCCGGAACTCTCTCCAGGTAAACTCCAGGTAAGAAGAGATGGTGGTATGAAACTTGATAATAGATACCGACAAGTTGGTTCAGAGAAACATGTAGGATATATTTATTAGAAGACGTTTTGGTCTTGGGGCCTTGATCACTTCTAACACTTCTGTCTGTATGTTAGAAGCGATCGAAGTCCCAGGATCGAAACGTTTTCTAATAAATATGTCCTAGTGTTTGCTTAAACGTTTTTTTCTGAATTTAGAAGAGACAGTGACTGGGGCAACAAGCCCAGGAGTGGAGGTACAAAAAAACACGAAATAATGGACAAACATACACAGTCATGCGTCACTTAACGACGGGGATACGTTCTAAGAAATGCGTGGTCATTGTACGAAAGTCACAGATTGTACTTACACAAACCTAGATAGTATAGCTTACTACACACCTAGGCTACATACCTTAGGGACCTTGATGAACACTACAACATGAGATTAAATTAAGCACAAGGGGAAATGATGCTATCAAGAGACGAGGTAAACATGAGATGTATGAGGCTGCTGCCGGAGTGACATAGCATACTGTTTCACCGTAAACTTTTTTTTATAAATAGAAAGATTATGCTCTAGAATAAGGATAAAATGTAGAGTATAGTTAATACATAAACCAGTAACAAACTTGTTTATTATAATTATTAGGTATTATGTGCTGTGTAAACTGAATGTGCTAACTTTTACACGACTTGCGGCGTATGGACCACCGCCGTATATGCGGTCCGTCGTTAAGCAGAGCATGACTGTACTTCAAAAAACGTTTCATGGAAAATTGAGCTTCATAGGGTCTTGATAAAGCTCTCTTTTTTTTTTTATCAATATGCGAAGTGTTAGCACTTGTGTAGTGTTAACTTTTGGCCTCACTGCCTCAACAGCTCCGTATCACTGATTGCTTTCGGTAATACGTCCGATCGTAGAGACAAATGGTCTATTGGCCATTTGCTTCATATGCATGATGCCATGCGAAGCGACGTATTAAAATGAACATTTTGTTATTACGTGGTTATATTTTGCTTGAAACTATTCTGATAGCCAATATGTTTTTCGCTTCTGAAACGCAATGCTTGTGACAACACACAAGAAGAGCAGGGAAAAAAAGCTGGTGTAAATATTTGCCAAAATAATAAATGAAGGCTGTAGTATCCCGTTCGCGTTTAAATCAGGAAAAAAAAAGAGGGTTAAAGTGTGTGATGTATCACCTCACATCCTCAAAGAAAGATTGAGAGGGAGTCAGAGTCATAAATATACAAATGTATATATTACATAGATCTCCTACCTGAGGGCACCAGAGAAGATACAGGCGACAAAGAGTCCAGGTAAGCCGGGGACGGAGCTAAGACGGTCCATGACGTAAAAGGGAAGGATCTGATCCTTCTTGGTGATGAGACCGGCAGCAAGGGGATCACATCCCTCGTAGGTCGCAAACATCACAAGACCTGAGGATTTAGCAACCCAACTTCAGGATTCTAATAATATTCTGAGAAATATGTTTCAGCGTATCGTTTGTATGGTTTTCTATCGTTACTGATGCTGTTGAATTTAAACGGAAACACATGAAGCCTGTGTTGTCTTGCGCTCTGAGAGTTTCATAGGAGCATTGTTGACATAGACAGTGCTGAGTGTTTTAGATGTAACAGGATGACATAGATCAAACACATTCACAGTGCTACTATCATAAAAAAAAGAACATCATGCGGAAAAAGAACACTTGTGTAGAGTCAGGGTTTTTATTAGAGGAACCTTTCGCCATGATTGTCAAAAGTCACTCGTGGCGACACGTGTTCTTTTTCCAGCTTGTCAGCCTCACTATTCCATTTACAATAAAAATCCATTAGTGTAACTCACACGTTCACCATTCCGCACACTCATTTTACCGCCCTCACTATTATTGTCCCACACTCCATCCCCATCCCACACACCGTCACCATACCATACACCATGGTAATTCCACACACAAAACCATCCCACACACCACTGCCCAACCACACTATGACTACCACACACCATCAAAACCAAACAACATCACTACCACACACCATCAGCAAGCCTTACCTGTGATCATGGTGAGAGAGATGAGCAGAATGAAGAAAGGAATCACCATAAAAATTGACCTGAAAACATCAGAAGCTCATAAAGCATTATTGTGATATTTTCGACGTGGTATTTATAAACACTTGATTTTTCCAGCGCTAATTATACCCCTCCCCAAGTCCAAGAATATATAATTAAAAGAAAAACTGAGAAATGTAAGTGACTAACCACACTGTTAAAATAAAAAATAAAAGAAAGCAAATGTAGATTTAACACATATTTTTGTTTAGTTTTAATATGTCTTAAAATAGTCTTGTTCCGTCCTCTAGAAAGATAACTGAAAAAAGTTCAAAAAACTGTATTCCGACAAATATTATTTATTTCGCACTGCCTTAGTAGGCTAGTTTGGCCTGCTAGGTTTCAAGTTATTTGACGTTATAGCTTACGGAGTAATTAATGTTTTTCATAATTTTTATAGTACTTATAAAGCCTTCCAATATGTATTACTCTGTTATAAATACTGAAGTGTTTTTGATGTTTATTAGTTAAAATTACTAATTACTTTAGCTAATACTACTAATGTATTAGCTGAAGTGGTGATGTAACTTTGTCCACTAGTTTTGTATAATCTGATCGCAGGTTCAAATCCCGCCCGTGATATGGTTTGTATAATCTGGAAATTACACTATACTCCCTTCAAAGTACAAGCATTACCCTTCCCACCTCCAGAACTCAAGTCCAGCTGAAAGGTTTTCCCTGAATCCCTTAATTTATAAACACAATCCGGTATCGAAAGTTATTTACGTATTGTAGAAAGCCACTAATAATAAAAACTAAAAGCAGTATCGTAAACTTGACACATGCACAGCAGAATTTGCGGGTATACAGTACTCACATATAAGCATGAGTGAGGGACTTCATGCTGACGTATCGTTGGATGGTGGTCTGAGTGCACGAGTATTGGGCTACCTTACCCACTAAGGCACTCACAACGATGTTAGCGACGGTGTGACGCTCCATTGGGTCATATCCATACCTAAAGGGAAGCAGGAGGGAATGATGTGTAGGCAGTGTCTACAACTGTATATTAAATGAAGACACAACAAAGACTTCAGGCAACTTTACACTGACGAAAACCGAGTTCTCTTTCAGCGAAACGCACTCAAGAAAAATACTTACTCTCCTCTAAGTGTCTTTGTCTTATTAATGATGCACAATGGGAATATTTCCTGTGTATAAAATGAATATAATTTTGCTCTAAATGTGTATATTTAGGAAAATATCCACAAGCAAACTTCACTGTTTATTGTTTATGGATATATGAACGTACTTGGCCCAAGTGAACTCAAAAGGATATGAGACATCTAAAAGGACAGAATATATATAAATATATATATATATATATATATATATATTTTATATATATATATATATATATATTTTATATATATATATATATATATATATATATATATATATATATATATTATATATATAGTAGGATGGTAGACAGCAACCACCCAGGGAAGTACTACCGTCCTGCCAGATGACTGTGAAACAGAAACCTGTAACTGTTTTACATGGATGGTAGGATTGCTGGTTTTCTTTTTCTGTCTCATAAACACGCTAAGATAACAGGGATATCTTGCTACTCCTACTTACACTTTGGTCACACTTCACAGACACGCACATGCATATATATATATACATACATCTAGGTTTTTTCCTTTTTCTAAATAGCTCTTGTTCTTTTTTATTTCTTTCTATTGTCCATGGGGAAGTGGAAAAGAATCTTTCCTCCGTAAGCCATGCGTGTCGTATGAGGCGACTAAAATGCCGGGAGCAATGGGCTAGTAACCCTTCTCCTGTATACATTTACTAAAAAGAGAAGAAGAAAAACTTTAATAAAACTGGGTTGCTTAAATGTGCGTGGATGTAGTGCGTATGACAAGAAACAGATGATTGCTGATGTTATGAATGAAAAGAAGTTGGATGTCCTGGCCCTAAGCGAACAAAGCTGAAGGGGGTAGGAGAGTTTCAGTGGGGGGAAATAAATGGGATTAAATCTGGAGTATCTGAGAGAGTTAGAGCAAAGGAAGGGGTAGCAGTAATGTTAAATGATCAGTTATGGAAGGAGAAAGAGAATATGAATGTGTAAATTCAAGAATTATGTGGATTAAAGTAAAGGTTGGATGCGAGAAGTGGGTCATAATAAGCGTGTATGCACCTGGAGAAGAGAGAAATGCAGAGGAGAGAGAGAGATTTTGGGAGATGTTAAGTGAATGTATAGGAGCCTTTGAACCAAATGAGAGAGTAATTGTGGTAGGGGACCTGAATGCTAAAGTAGGAGAAACCTTTAGAGAGGGTTGGTAGGTAAGTTTGGGGTGCCAGGTGTAAATGATAATGGGAGCCTTTGATTGAACTTTGTATAGAAAGGGGTTTAGTTATAGGTAATACATATTTTAAGAAAAGAGGATAAATAAGTATACACGATATGATGTAGGGCGAAATGACAGTAGTTTGTTGGATTATGTATTGGTAGATAAAAGACTGTTGAGTAGACTTCAGGATGTACATGTTTATAGAGGGGCCACAGATATATCAGATCACTTTCTAGTTGTAGCTACACTGAGAGTAAAAGGTAGATGGGATACAAGGAGATAGAAGAATCGGGGAAGAGAGAGGTGAAGGTTTATAAACTAAAAGAGGAGGCAGTTAGGGTAAGATATAAACAGCTATTGGAGGATAGATGGGCTAATGAGAGCATAGGCAATGGGGTCGAAGAGGTATGGGCTAGGTTTAAAAATGTAGTGTTAGAGTGTTCAGCAGAAGTTTGTGGTTACAGGAAAGTGGGTGCAGGAGGGAAGAGGAGCGATTGGTGGAATGATGATGTAAAGAGAGTAGTAAGGGAGAAAAAGTTAGCATATGAGAAGTTTTTACAAAGTAGAAGTGATGCAAGGAGGAAGAGTATATGGAGAAAAAGAGAGAAGTTAAGAGAGTGGTGAAGCAATGTAAAAAGAGAGCAAATGAGAGAGTGGGTGAGATGTTATCAACAAATTTTGTTGAAAATAAGAAAAAGTTTTGGAGTGAGATTAACAAGTTAAGAAAGCCTAGAGAACAAATGGATTTGTCAGTTAAAAATAGGAGAGGAGAGTTATTAAATGGAGAGTTAGAGGTATTGGGAAGATGGAGGGAATATTTTGAGGAATTGTTAAATGTTGATGAAGATAGGGAAGCTGTGATTTCGTGTATAGGGCAAGGAGGAATAACATCTTGTAGGAGTGAGGAAGAGCCAGTTGTGAGGTGTGGGGGAAGTTCGTGAGGCAGTAGGTAAAATGAAAGGGGGTAAGGCAGCCGGGATTGATGGGATAAAGATAGAAAATGTTAAAAGCAGGTGGGGATATAGTTTTGGAGTGGTTGGTGCAATTATTTAATAAATGTATGGAAGAGGGTAAGGTACCTAGGGATTGGCAGAGAGCATGCATAGTTCCTTTGTATAAAGGCAAAGGGGATAAAAAGAGAGTGCAAAAATTATAGGGGGATAAGTCTGTTGAGTGTACCTGGTAAGGTGTATGGTAGAGTTATAATTGAAAGAATTAAGAGTAAGACGGAGAATAGGATAGCAGATGAACAAGGAGGCTTTAGGAAAGGTAGGGGGTGTGTGGACCAGGTGTTTACAGTGAAACATATAAGTGAACAGTATTTAGATAAGGCTAAAGAGGTCTTTGTGGCATTTATGGATTTGGAAAAGGCGTATGACAGGGTGGATAGGGGGGCAATGTGGCAGATGTTGCAAGTGTATGGTGTAGGAGGTAGGTTACTGAAAGCAGTGAAGAGTTTTTACGAGGATAGTGAGGCTCAAGTTAGAGTATGTAGGAAAGAGGGAAATTTTTTCCCAGTAAAGGTAGGCCTTAGACAAGGATGTGTGATGTCACCGTGGTTGTTTAATATATTTATAGATGGGGTTGTAAGAGAAGTAAATGCGAGGGTCTTGGCAAGAGGCGTGGAGTTAAAAGATAAAGAATCACACACAAAATGGGAGTTGTCACAGCTGCTCTTTGCTGATGACACTGTGCTCTTGGGAGATTCTGAAGAGAAGTTGCAGAGATTGGTGGATGAATTTGGTAGGGTGTGCAAAAGAAGAAAATTAAAGGTGAATACAGGAAAGAGTAAGGTTATGAGGATAACAAAAAGATTAGGTGATGAAAGATTGAATATCAGATTGGAGGGAGAGAGTATGGAGGAGGTGAACGTATTCAGATATTTGGGAGTGGACGTGTCAGCGGATGGGTCTATGAAAGATGAGGTGAATCATAGAATTGATGAGGGAAAAAGAGTGAGTGGTGCACTTAGGAGTCTGTGGAGACAAAGAACTTTGTCCTTGGAGGCAAAGAGGGGAATGTATGAGAGTATAGTTTTACCAACGCTCTTATATGGGTGTGAAGCGGGGGTGATGAATGTTGCAGCGAGGAGAAGGCTGGAGGCAGTGGAGATGTCATGTCTGAGGGCAATGTGTGGTGTGAATATAATGCAGAGAATTCGTAGTTTGGAAGTTAGGAGGAGGTGCGGGATTACCAAAACTGTTGTCCAGAGGGCTGAGAAGGGTTGTTGAGGTGGTTCGGACATGTAGAGAGAATGGAGCGAAACAGAATGACTTCAAGAGTGTATCAGTCTGTAGTGGAAGGAAGGCGGGGTAGGGGTCGGCCTAGGAAGGGTTGGGAGGGAGGGGGTAAAGGAGGTTTTGTGTGCGAGGGGCTTGGACTTCCAGCAGGCATGCGTGAGCGTGTTTGATAGGAGTGAATGGAGACAAATGGTTTTTAATACTTGACGTGCTGTTGGAGTGTGAGCAAAGTAACATTTATGAAGGGATTCAGGGAAACCGGCAGGCCGGACTTGAGTCCTGGAGATGGGAAGTACAGTGCCTGCACTCTGAAGGAGGGGTGTTAATGTTGCAGTTTAAAAACTGTAGTGTAAAGCACCCTTCTGGCAAGACAGTGATGGAGTGAATGATGGTGAAAGTTTTTCTTTTTCGGGCCACCCTGCCTTGGTGGGAATCGGCCAGTGTGATAATAAAAATATATATATATATATATATATATATATATATATAATATATATATATATATATATATATATATATATATATATATATATATATATATATACATATATATATATATATTTTTATTTTTTTTTTTTTTTTATTATCACACCGGCCGATTCCCACCAAGGCAGGGTGGCCCGAAAAAGAAAAACTTTCACCATCATTCACTCCATCACTGTCTTGCCAGAAGGGTGCTTTACACTACAGTTTTTAAACTGCAACATTAACACCCCTCCTTCAGAGTGCAGGCACTGTACTTCCCATCTCCAGGACTCAAGTCCGGCCTGCCGGTTTCCCTGAATCCCTTCATAAATGTTACTTTGCTCACACTCCAACAGCACGTCAAGTATAAAAACCATTTGTCTCCATTCACTCCTATCAAACACGCTCACGCATGCCTGCTGGAAGTCCAACCCCCTCGCACACAAAACCTCCTTTACCCCTCCTCCAACCCTTCCTTGGCCGACCCCTACCCGCCTTCCTTCCACTACAGACTGATACACTCTTGAAGTCATTCTGTTTCGCTCCATTCTCTCTACATGTCCGAACCACCTCAACAACCCTTCCTCAGCCCTCTGGACAACAGTTTTGGTAATCCCGCACCTCCTCCTAACTTCCAAACTACGAATTCTCTGCATTATATTCACACCACACATTGCCCTCAGACATGACATCTCCACTGCCTCCAGCCTTCTCCTCGCTGCAACATTCATCACCCACGCTTCACACCCATATAAGAGCGTTGGTAAAACTATACTCTCATACATTCCCCTCTTTGCCTCCAAGGACAAAGTTCTTTGTCTCCACAGACTCCTAAGTGCACCACTCACTCTTTTTCCCTCATCAATTCTATGATTCACCTCATCTTTCATAGACCCATCCGCTGACACGTCCACTCCCAAATATCTGAATACGTTCACCACCTCCATACTCTCTCCCTCCAATCTGATATTCAATCTTTCATCACCTAATCTTTTTGTTATCCTCATAACCTTACTCTTTCCTGTATTCACCTTTAATTTTCTTCTTTTGCACACCCTACCAAATTCATCCACCAATCTCTGCAACTTCTCTTCAGAATCTCCCAAGAGCACAGTGTCATCAGCAAAGAGCAGCTGTGACAACTCCCACTTTGTGTGTGATTCTTTATCTTTTAACTCCACGCCTCTTGCCAAGACCCTCGCATTTACTTCTCTTACAACCCCATCTATAAATATATTAAACAACCACGGTGACATCACACATCCTTGTCTAAGGCCTACTTTTACTGGGAAAAAATTTCCCTCTTTCCTACATACTCTAACTTGAGCCTCACTATCCTCGTAAAAACTCTTCACTGCTTTCAGTAACCTACCTCCTACACCATACACTTGCAACATCTGCCACATTGCCCCCTATCCACCCTGTCATACGCCTTTTCCAAATCCATAAATGCCACAAAGACCTCTTTAGCCTTATCTAAATACTGTTCACTTATATGTTTCACTGTAAACACCTGGTCCACACACCCCTACCTTTCCTAAAGCCTCCTTGTTCATCTGCTATCCTATTCTCCGTCTTACTCTTAATTCTTTCAATTTTACTCTACCATACACTTACCAGGTACACTCAACAGACTTATCCCCCTATAATTTTTGCACTCTCTTTTATCCCCTTTGCCTTTATACAAAGGAACTATGCATGCTCTCTGCCAATCCCTAGGTACCTTACCCTCTTCCATACATTTATTAAATAATTGCACCAACCACTCCAAAACTATATCCCCACCTGCTTTTAACATTTCTATCTTTATCCCATCAATCCCGGCTGCCTTACCCCCTTTCATTTTACCTACTGCCTCACGAACTTCCCCCACACTCACAACTGGCTCTTCCTCACTCCTACAAGATGTTATTCCTCCTTGCCCTATACACGAAATCACAGCTTCCCTATCTTCATCAACATTTAACAATTCCTCAAAATATTCCTTCCATCTTCCCAATACCTCTAACTCTCCATTTAATAATCTCCTCTCCTATTTTTAACTGACAAATCCATTTGTTCTCTAGGCTTTCTTAACTTGTTAATCTCACTCCAAAACTTTTTCTTATTTTCAACAAAATTTGTTGATAACATCTCACCCACTCTCTCATTTGCTCTCTTTTTACATTGCTTCACCACTCTCTTAACTTCTCTCTTTTTCTCCATATACTCTTCCCTCCTTGCATCACTTCTACTTTGTAAAAACTTCTCATATGCTAACTTTTTCTCCCTTACTACTCTCTTTACATCATCATTCCACCAATCGCTCCTCTTCCCTCCTGCACCCACTTTCCTGTAACCACAAACTTCTGCTGAACACTCTAACACTACATTTTTAAACCTACCCCATACCTCTTCGACCCCATTGCCTATGCTCTCATTAGCCCATCTATCCTCCAATAGCTGTTTATATCTTACCCTAACTGCCTCCTCTTTTAGTTTATAAAACCTTCACCTCTCTCTTCCCTGATGCTTCTATTCTCCTTGTATCCCATCTACCTTTTACTCTCAGTGTAGCTACAACTAGAAAGTGATCTGATATATCTGTGGCCCCTCTATAAACATGTACATCCTGAAGTCTACTCAACAGTCTTTTATCTACCAATACATAATCCAACAAACTACTGTCATTTCGCCCTACATCATATCGTGTATACTTATTTACCCTCTTTTTTTAAAATATGTATTACCTATAACTAAACCCCTTTCTATACAAAGTTCAATCAAAGGGCTCCCATTATCATTTACACCTGGCACCCCAAACTTACCTACCACACCCTCTCTAAAAATTTCTCCTACTTTAGCATTCAAGTCCCCTACCACAATTACTCTCTCACTTGGTTCAAAGGCTCCTATACATTCACTTAACATCTCCCAAAATCTCTCTCTCTCCTCTGCATTCCTCTCTTCTCCAGGTGCATACACGCTTATTATGACCCACTTCTCGCATCCAACCTTTACTTTAATCCACATAATTCTTGAATTTACACATTCATATTCTCTTTTCTCCTTCCATAACTGATCATTTAACATTACTGCTACCCCTTCCTTTGCTCTAACTCTCTCAGATACTCCAGATTTAATCCATTTATTTCCCCCCACTGAAACTCTCCTACCCCCTTCAGCTTTGTTTCGCTTAGGGCCAGGACATCCAACTTCTTTTCATTCATAACATCAGCAATCATCTGTTTCTTGTCATCCGCACTACATCCACGCACATTTAAGCAACCCAGTTTTATAAAGTTTTTCTTCTTCTCTTTTTTAGTAATTGTATACAGGAGAAGGGGTTACTAGCCCATTGCTCCGGCATTTTAGTCGCCTCATACGACACGCATGGCTTACGGAGGAAAGATTCTTTTCCACTTCCCCATGGACAATAGAAGAAATAAAAAAGAACAAGAGCTATTTAGAAAAAGGAGAAAAACCTAGATGTATGTATATATATATATGCATGTGCGTGTCTGTGAAGTGTGACCAAAGTGTAAGTAGGAGTAGCAAGATATCCCTGTTATCTTAGCGTGTTTATGAGACAGAAAAAGAAACCAGCAATCCTACCATCATGCAAAACAGTTACAGGTTTTTGTTTCACAGTCATCTGGCAGGACGGTAGTACTTCCCTGGGTGGTTGCTGTCTACAACCTACTACCTTGATATATATATATATATATATATATATATATATATATATATATATATATATATATATATATATATATAATATATATATATATATATATATATATATAATATATATATATATATATATATATATATATATATATATATATATATATATATATATATATATATATATATATATATATATATATATATATATATGTCCCAATGGAAGTACCTTCCTTGAAGGGTCCCCATGAAATTATCTTGATTAAAAGGGTCCCCATTAAAGCACTTTTGAAGGGTTCCCATGAAAATTCCTTCCTTGAAAGGCCCTCATGAAAGTCTTCCTTGAAGGGCCTTCAAGCACGTTTGAAGGGTGTCCATGAAAGTGCCTTCTTTGAAGGATCCTTACGTAAAGATCTGAGGTCCAGCTCTGTCGTGTTGGACGCTGATCTCCCACACCCGCTGGAAGCTGCCCATGTCGATGAGTCCCTTGATGATGACGGCGATGAGGCCCAGGATGAGGATGAAGAGCTGCAACACGTCAGTCCACACCACCGCCTTCATCCCTCCCTGTGACAAATTAAAAATTATTATGTTAATGGTACACAATACCGACACAGAGGCTATAGGACTGAACAATTGTCCTTTTAAAGCTAAGGGACTGAACGCCTTCCCTGAAGGATAAGGGCTGAACACCGTCCGTCAAGGCTAAAAGACTGAACTACTTCCTTCAAGGTACGAACACTTTCCATCAAAACTGAGGGACCGAACATCTTCCATCAAGTCTAAGGGACTGAACTCCTCATAATTACCCGTCTCATTCTTCCAACGCCTCTAGCTTCATAAAAATAACTTTTGCATTCGACTAAATAAGCATGTCTTACCCACCAACCAATAACATCAAGTTGTTGGTTGGCGGATAAGACAGTTTTCCTTAAATTTTTTTTAAGTGTGATGTATACTTCACATAAGTATCAAAGTGAATATTTACTAGACATGAAGTAGTAAGCTGCAATGACTTTTCGTAATAAAAATGTTTCATAAATTTAGTTATGTAGATGAATGGTTCACAGAACCGACAAGTTGATAAATTAGACACATGTGCAACACTTGAGTACCTTTATTGAGGAAACGTATCGCCACAAAGTGGCTTCATCAGTCCATACAAAAGATAACGGGGAAGAACAGGAGGAGTTTGAGGTAATCAGTCCCTCAGCCTTGAGTCGATGTGGTCAGTCCATCAATTTTGAAAAGAATACGAATAAGAATAGGTGTTCATTTCAAGATTGATGGGCTGACCATATCGACTCAAGGTTGAGGGACTGACTACCTCAAATTACTCCTGTTCTTCCCCGTTCTCCTTTGTATGGACTGATGAAGCCACTGTGTGGCGAAATGTTTCCTCAGTAAAGATACCCAAGTGTTGCACATGTGTCTAATTTATCATAAATTTAGTTACAAGAAGTAATAGTAGTAGTAGTAGTAGTAGTAGTAGTAGTAGTAGTAGTAGTAATAGTAGTAGTAGTAGTAGTAGTAGTAGCAGCAGCAGCAGCAGCAGCAGCAGCAGCAGCAGTAGTAGTAGTAGTAGTAGTAGTAGCAGCAGCAGCAGCAGCAGTAGTAGTAGTAGTAGTAGTAATAGTAGTAGTAGTAGCAGCAGCAGCAGCAGCAGCAGCAGTAGTAGTATAGTAGTAGTAGATAGTAGCAGCAGTAGTAGTTAGTTTAGTAGTAGTAGTAGTAGTAGTAGTAGCAGCAGCAGCAGTAGTAGTAGTAGCAGCAGCAGTCAGTAGTAGTAGTAGTAGTAGTAGTAGTAGCAGCAGCAGCAGCAGTAGTAGTAGTAGTAGTAGTAGTAGTAGTATGTAGAGTAGGTAGTAGCAGTAGTATAGTAGTAGTAGTAGTAGTAGTAGTAGTAGCAGTAGTAGTAGTAGTAGTAAGTAGTAGTAGTAGTAGCAGTAGTTAGTAGTAGTAGGAGTAGTAGTATAGTAGTAGCAGTAGTAGTAGTAGTAGTAGTAGTAGCAGTAGTAGTAGTAGTAGTAGTAGTAGTAGTAGTAGTAGTAGTAGTAGCAGTAGTAGTAGTAGTAATAGTAGTAGTAGTAGCAGCAGTAGTAGTAGTAGGAGTAGTAGTAGTAGTAGTAGTAGCAGTAGTAGTAGTAGTAGTAGTAGTAGTAGTAGTAGTAGCAGCAGTAGTAGTAGTAGGAGTAGTAGTAGTAGTAGTAGTAGTAGCAGCAGCAGCAGCAGTAGTAGTAGTATCAGCAGTAGTAGTAGTAGTAGTAGTAGTAGTAGCAGCAGCAGTAGTAGTAGTAGTAGTAGTAGTAGCAGTAGTAGTAGTAGTAGTAGTAGTAGTAGTAGCAGTAGTAGTAGTAGTAGTAGTAGTAGTAGTAGCAGCAGTAGTAGTAGTGAGTAAGTAGTAGTAGTAGTACAGTATAGTAGTAGTAGTAGTAGTAGCAGTAGTAGTAGTAGTAACAGTATGTAGTAGTAGTAGTAGTAGTACGTAGTAGTAGTAGTAGCAGCAGTAGTAGTAGTAGTAGTAGTAGTAGTAGTAGTAGTAGTAGCAGTAGTAGTAGTAGTAGCAGTAGTAGTAGTACTAGTAGTAGTAGTAGTAGTAGTAGTCAGTAGTAGTAGTAGCAGTAGTTAGTAGTAGTAGTAGTAGTAGAAGCAGCAGTAGTAGAAGTAGTAGTAGTAGTAGTAATAGTAGCAGCAGCAGCAGAAGTAGTAGTAGTAGTAGTAGTAGTAGTTATATATAGCAGTAGTAGTATCTAGTAGTAGTAGTAGTAGTAGTAGTAGTATTAGTATAGTATAGTAGCAGTATAGTAGCAGTAGTAGTAGTAGTAGTACAGTAGTAGTAGTTAGTAGTAGTAGTAGTAGTAGCAGTATAGCGTAGTAATGGTGTTGTAATGGTAGTAGTAGTTGCAGTATTTTATTTATTATTATTATTATTATTATTATTATTATTATTATTATTATTATTATTATTATTATTGGTATTGTTATTATTGTTATTATTATCATGATTATTATTATTATTATTATTATTATATATTATTATTATATTATTTTGGTATTGTTATTATGTTATTATATTATTATATATTATTATTATTATTATTATTATTATTATTATTATTTTATTATTATTATTATTATTATTATTACTATCATTATTATTACAGTTACGTTAGTACTAGACTATTATTAGCACCTGAAATTGTAGTAATAGTGATTGAAGCAAAAGATGACGTTGCAATACAGTAATAGAAGTAGTGGCTACTGTAATGTAAGTATTATCATCATTATGGTGACAAAAAGGACAAATGGTGTTGCAGCAGCTGGTGAACCTCTGTTCTCCCTCATGTCTCACTGGTGACCCTGGTGATGGCCACCGGTGAGTGTGCACCTTTGCACATCCTGGTTTCAATCTCAATTTCCTCAGGGATATTTCTGTAGTTAACTAGCATCGCTGTATTGATTGCATACCCACCCAATTGTTGTGATCTGATTGTCTAAAGGGAAACCAATGAATATATCCTGTACAAGAATGGTATACAATACCGACAATATCTTTGTATATTCGCGGATTTGTTTGTAAATTCTGTCAGTCACCTCCACACTACTGTACTATGCAAAATTTCAAATTTCAGTTACATCTTTAAGGTCTAGAAGACCTCCACAACTCTTAACAAGACAAAGTTAAACATTGCGAAAAAAATTGTAATGTTACCGATATATGATAAACCTACCGCATTTGAATCCTTTATAAATCCGTCAATAAAAAAATATTCGCACACCTAATTGTAAACCAAACTTACAAAAGCTGTGTACAATGACGCGATGACACCAACAGCGATGACAGAAACCCACAGGGGAAAGTCTGTGACGGAGGCGAGGGCGAGAGCCGGGGCGTAGATGACCACGGCCTGGTAGAGCAACATTTGGATCACAAACATCCCTCCGGCCACACACCGTACCCAGCGTGAGGCGTAGCGTAGCTCCAGATACTGTGGAGTGCGGGCGATGCGGCGGATGAGATGACATATTGCGTACATGTATTGAAACTCACGTTGCAGAACAAGCTTTCACTGGGAGAACGTTTCTCTCCTCTCTACACAGAGAAATGTTGTCTCAGTGGAACCTTGTCTTCAGGCAATATAGTTATATTGTGCTTGCTTTCTCTTATTTACAAGTTATCTATATTACAAACTAGTTTTGTTATAAGAGATAAACACAATTCACAACACATCCACAAACTGAAGCCGAGAAATGAACAATGTTTCTGTCTCTACTGGATCATTATCACTCGTAACTTGATAATGGTATATGAGGAAGCGAAACTAAGGTTCAGAGGCTCCAACCCAGTACACTTCCTTCCTCACGTAGTTATTCTTAGTAACCACCAAGAAAACACTGCAGTACATTCCCTTAAGTTCAATTTAATGTGAAAGAGTTCATTGACCTGAGGTGCTTAATAACATGATTTTACCAGTGTAATTTCGTATGTATGTGTGTGTGTGTGTGTGTTGTATGTGTGTTGTGTGTGTGTGTGTATGTATTTGTGTGTGTGTGTGTGTGTGTGTGTGTGTGTGTGTGTGTGTGTGTATTACACAGTGTGATGTAGTAAAAATATTGTATTAAAAATGCTCCATAGTTCCGGGATTGTTCTGAAACACGACGCGTATTATTCCTGGTCAGAGTAGCCAGGACATGACAGGAGCAGATAAGGTGTTTGTGGGGCAGTACAAGAAGAGCGGCGGCGGGGAGAAGTCATTATGGTTTGTCGTTAATATGACTCAAGAAATCGTAATGACACGATTGCAAACAAACCATACCCCCGGCCGGGATTGAACCCGCGGTCGTTAATGTAAGTAGGTGGGTTTTTTTTTTTTTCTAATTTTATACCATACGTTATTTTATTTGTGTTTAAGTGCTCTCATGTTCACCTGAAAGGCCCTAGTGTGCAGAGGCCTGTTTAATTTGGGAGAGTACTTGTATGCCGTTTTTACCGGTCGGTAGACAGACCGGCAGAAAAGGAGGGGGGGGGAGGGTGTCATGGAGCCTCACTTTTTATAAATTTTTATATATTTTCTTTCACTCACTACTAGCAGTGTGCTAGTACTGGGTAAAGGTGAACTGGAGTGTGGAGATGTTGGTTGTAGTATAATAGATTGTAGGTTGTATACGTTACTTTTAATATATTATATGTTTGTATAGGTGAGTTTTTGTGTCCTTCCTCATTGACCATTTAAATTTATGCTTCATAAATTGTATGAAGGTACAAGCAGGCCATAGAGTGATTTCTTTTTTCTATTTTAAATAATACAAATGCCCCTAGGCTCGGCAGGTATTCTCGTTAGGAGCCAGGACTTTTTATTTACGTTATGCAGCCAAAAAAGCATAACAGTATGTGTATGTATATGTGAGTGAGTGTGTATGTGTGAGAGTGTGTGTGTCAATGAAAGTGTGAGTGAGTGTATTTGTGTATGTGTGTATATTTGTATATGTGTGTATGTGAGTGTGTGTGTATTGGGGGGTGGATGTGCACATGCGGTTTAAAGACGCTTTCCCTCAAAAACCGAAGTAATTTAAAAACCCTCTTAAAAAATTTGGCATGAAGACGACGCAGAAAAAGGGGAAAAGGGCAAATTTGCCAGCGCCATCCCCCAAACCATTTCCACACCGGATAGTACCCCTCAGACGGACCTCCTGAACCCCCAACACCAGAGTTTAAACAGAAAAAAATAAGTAAAAAATTTAGGCCCTAAAAAACGAGAAACTGTAAAAGAGACTTGTAAAAAAAATTTCAGGAAAAATTAAAAAAAAAGGGAAAAGTTTAAAAAAAATTTTTTTTAAAGAAGTGCCAATAACGGGAATTTAAAATTAAAGTGTTTCTGAAAAAACAATTCATGGTAAAAAAAAAAATAAAAAATTAGTATATTTGAAATTTGAAACCAAATGCAAAAACATGAAAAATAGGGATAAACACACACACACACACACACACACAAAACCCCACACACACACAAAACCACACACACACACACACACAAAACCCCACACAAACACACACACACCATACACACACATACACACACACCCCACACACACACACCACACCACCCCCCCCCAAACCCAACCCCAAAAACCCACCCCCACACACAAAAAACACACACACACAACACACACACAAAACAAAACACACACAAAAGTAACATAGGAGGAAACCCAACCAGTAAAGGGCCCCGGGTGAATCAGGTTTGGGGAAGGGAAAGGAGGGGGAGGTCCAAAAAACCTCGAAAGTGTGTGAGATCTACAAGGTTTTAAAGAAGTATTAAAGTGGGGGAAAAAAAAAGGACCCCAAAAACCCGGGTGGTAAGGTACGCTGTCAAGTGCTGGACACCCCTACATATTACCTAGGAGGAGGGGGAAAAGGGCTGTTAAAAGAGCTAGATACCTAAAAGGCGTTTGGGGCCAGACAATATCTCTCCGTGGGTCCTGAAAAAGGGGGAGAGGCACTCTGTGTCCCCTTTAAAACAACAATCTTAACCCCAAAACGATTAAAACCCGGGGGCGACTCCCTGGGGTGCGAAACAAGAAATGTAGTCCCAATTTTTAAGAAAGGGGACATTTTACGTAGCATTAAATAAGACCATGTAAATAACGTGTATAGTAAGCAAAGTCATGGAGTTTTATCAAAGAGTGGTGGAGCATTTAAAAAAAAAAATGATCTTATTAAAGACAACCAGTACATTTCAGGGGGGGGAAAATCCTGTGGTAAAAAACCCCAATTTGGATTTTCTTTTTAAAAAGGTTTACAGCGTAAGGCAAAAGGAGGAGGAGTGATAGAGTGCATTTTCTTGGAGGGTAAAAGGCTTAGGCATTTCCCAAACACAAAATTAGTGCAAAAGCTGGACAACCGGGAAAGGTATAATAAGGAAGGCACGCAATGGATCAGAAAAAACCCTGACAGGGAGACAAAAAAGGGTTTTCAGGGTATGTGACGATTTGTCAGAGTGGGGGGTCTGTGACGAGTGGGGCTTTACGGGGGTCAGTCCGGGGACCGGGATGTTTCTAGTATATTTTGAAAGACATGATGGAAATTAGATTCAAAAAGTGTGCTTTTTTTCAGACGATGTTAATTTTAATGAAGAAAATTCGTGGGAGGAAAAACCAGGCAGGACAAAAAGGGATCTGGATAGGCTGCAACCCTGGTCCAGAAACGGGGCTCTTAGATTTTAAACCCCACCAAGTGCAAAATCATAAAAGATCGGGGGAAAGGGCAAAGAAGCCCGCAGACAGAGTACAGTTTGGTACCCAAAAACCCTAAAAACGTCACTCACTCCCTAAAGCGAAACATAAACCCAAATTAACTGCTCCCGGGCTTTTGGGGCGATTAGAAAACCCAAGAATAGCTTTCCCAGCACCTCAGTGAGGAATCATTCAAGACTCTGTACAAATTGCATGTCAGGCCCAAAATTTAGTATGCAGCCCGTCTGGAACCCAACCTAGCCCAAGCATATCAAAAAATTTGGGAGAAAGTCCCAAAGGTTTGCAACAAGAGTAGCCCGGGACTAGGTGTCCTTTCCTACGAGGAGAAGTTAAGGACAGGAGAGAGGGGGGGGAAAGGGAATGATAACGACAAATAAAATACTGGAGGAATCGAAAGGTGGACAATACAGGATTTTCCCAGAGAGGGGACACATCAACAAGGGGTCAAAATTGGGAAAAGGGGGAAGACTCAGACGAGTCACAGGGAAAAGATAGGAAGTATTTCTTAAACCCAAGAGGTTGTCAAAAAAGGGGAATAGTCTGGAGAGGGATGTTGTGGAGACAGGATCCTACCAACTTTAAGAAGTGGTACGACAAAGCCATGGACCCCGGGAGAGCTTTGACCCTAGTAGCGCCCAGAAAAAGAAAGGGGCCCCAAGGGCGGGTGAATCGCCCCCTGCAACCACAAAAAATTTGGAGTACGAGGAACTGTGTTGCCGCTAGGGGAAACTTCGGGCAACGTTGAACTAAAACCCAGTGCCCCATGACATTTTTCAGAAACGTAAAGTCATGGGAAAAAAATTTTTCAGGGGGCAAGTGGGGGAAACCCCCTAAAAAAAAAAAAGGAGGGGGTTCATACATGACAATCACCCACGGCTTTATGATGGGGAAATCATGTTTTCCCCAAATCTACTTTTTTTTCTACAATAAGGTACATATAGGGGGGGAGAGAGGGGGGAAAATGGGAAATTTTGCATTTTTTTGGACGCAAGAAGGAGGAATAGTGGGGAAAGTATTTGCAATGGACCCGGGAACCCCTGAAAAGGGAAGGGAAAAAACAACAAGTGTTGGTATGGGGATAAGTTCAGAGTGGGCGCATGAAAGGGATGGGGTTCCCCCAAGGGGTCAGTCCTAGGTGGGGGGTGCTGTTTATTGTTTATGTGAAAAACATGTTTTAAAAATATCGCTTTTCGCTGATGATGTAAAAACTGATGGGAAAAAAATAAAAAAAAAAGCGGGGTGGGGATCGGGAAAAAAATTACATGGAGTTTGGGATGGGTACACGTCTGGTCTGAAAAATTGGCCCCGGGAGTTTAATCCCCCAGAAAAGCCCCAAAGTCAGAAGTTTGGGGAAAGGGGTAAAAGGACCGAAGACGGATACGGTTAGGAAGAAAAGGGCTCCCAACTTCACTTAAAAAAAGGATCTTGGGGAGCATTATACCGAGCATATATGCCCCCTGGGGAAAACTCAATCAAATACCTGCTGCAGCATGAAGGCTTTTGGGCCAAACCTAAGAATAGCTTTTCAAACAACCAAGTAAGGAGTAAATTCACGCCCACTGTACACCTGTACATTGGGGCCCTGCTGGGAGTATGTACACCAATCTAAAACCCCACCCCTAGCCCAAAATTACGTCAAAAAAATTCAAAGGTACGAAATTTTTTGCAATTGACAGTCCCGGTACTGGAGGTTTTTTTCCTTCCAAAGAAGAGGAAAAGGGAAGCCCCTTTATAAGGGACAAAAAATTTACCAAAGAGGAATTGACAAGATGGACGGGGCTCGAATGTTTCGGGAAAA